GAAAAGTAGAGAGAATGATGTGACAACTTATAGTAATTTTTTGACTTTTTAGCTAAAACATGTAGTCGCCAAACGAGGCCTTAATACCCTTTTAATCCATTAGGTAATGCTCCCATGCATCCCTTAAAAAATGGTGTACATATGCAAGTTATGATATATTACAAAGTATCATAACTATATCACTTTATGTCATAATTGAATGAATCATAACTGACCACTTTTGAAGTATAGCCAAACATCTTTTTAGTCATAATCAAAATTACAATCACGATATATCATAACTGAATCATAATTAATACCACAATGTATCATAATCAAATATCACAATAAATCATAATCAAATACCATAAAGATCATAATTAAAACCTATGATACATACGTTTTAATGTGTGTATTATAGAATTTCTTCTAATCGATATTATAAGAATGGGAAAAAAAGAAAGATGGCATTTCCCGGATGTTACACCGGGGATAGAATAGAACCGGAAGTGGGCGAAAAATTATAAGTCAACGTTTGATGTTAATCATGCAACTTGTAAGGTCATTGTGTGGATGCTGATATAAGACTGCTAGTTTTGTATTTTTAGGGAAGTAAGCGGCCAGTTCATATTTAAGTGTGGTTCTCAATAGGAGATAAATTACAAGAATAATGCTTGGGACCCCCTTTTGGGGGTCACCCCCTCACCCCCTTTGCCACGTGGCAGGGGGTGATTGGAGGAGCAGGAAAAAAAAGAAAAAGAAAAAGAAAAGGTAACCAATGAGAGAGAGAGGGGGTCAAAGGGGGTGGGGGGAAAAGGGGGGATGAATCATTACTCAAATTACAAATATACTGAGAATTACATCTAACGGAAAATTAAACTTTCAAAGAATTTTCAAAGACCAACATACAATCACAAACATAGAACAAATCTAAAAAACACAATTCAAAGACGGTCAACAAATATAAAAGGGGAAAGACCCGCAAATAAGTGCGAAGATTCACGGGGCACAAATGACACACATGAATGATCTGAAGCCAGCCACAAACAATTACTAAGCAACATCAAAATCTAGTCCTTTTGCTAATGATTCCAGCTATGATTTGTCCGAGCTCTTCACCACAATCCTCCTGTACATGATGCCCTGCCTGAAAAGGCAACAAATCGTATATATTTATCTCCAAACAAAACTTCTCTTAAGGACAATGGCACTCAAAACAGAAAAAGAGTGTGTGACAGCCCAAAGAACATCAAGTGCCAGAATCATATTATTAACCAACCTTGAATACCTTACGTTAAATTCACTATCTTATTATATAAAGTACACAAGGTAAAGTAGAAATTGGTGATTAAGAAGCTTGAAACATAAACATGTGAGTTATACTATCAACCATTAAGACTTAAGAACTAGTCACCTCTTGAATATAGCAAGCAAACAAATATTACATCAAAGTATGCTTACATAATATGACTGAAACTTATCTTGATTTAATTACCTCGCAATATCCTAAAGATAGAGATATGAAAATGTTCGTTATGAGAAAATGCAGAAGGTGTTAAATATGAATAGGGAACCTAGCTAGCTTTGATGGACCAGAATGTGAAACTTTTAAGAATGAAAACTTAAGTTTGGGAAGACTAAAAAAGTGCACTTTTTGTCTTTTTGGACTAAAAAATTGAGGTTGAAAATATGGATGTTTGGGTTAATTTTTTGACTTTTTATTGAAAAATGTGTAATAAAAAATTGTAAAAATTGATTTGTAGAGAAAAATTTGAATTGGGAGTTGTGCAGCCGTAATTGTTGACTTTTGGTGAATAGTGTTAACTTTTTAGCTTTTTGAGTAACTTTTTGGCTTTTTGGCTTTTTTGGATCTTCCCAAACTTGGCCTTAATATGTGTTGAAGAGTTAGGGAAACTATTTGAAATGGAAAGTTGAATGTTTAGACGATTTAGAAAACCTTAAGTGAGGAGCTTAATCATTTTAGTTTCATGAGTAGAGTTTAATGGATACTTAATTAAAAATTAAGTAGGATTAGTAAAAGTTAAGAGAGATTAACTAAGCCTAGGCAAGATTAATGAAGCTAATGAAGATTAAGAACTAAACATGATTAATTAGAAGTAAACATGGTTAATTAGACTAATGGAGCAATTAGTGATTAAGCTAATCAAATCATACGAAATAAAAGAGAAGAATTTAGAGAGATGGAGAAGAGTCGAGAAGTTGGGTGTTCTTGAGCTCAAGAAGAAGAAAGCATGCTGCGCACACTGCCACGCTTCCGCATACATTCATAGATGTGTGTGTGTGTGTGTCAAACCTTTTTGTTCATGAAGTTGATTTTCGATGATTTGCACTATTGTAAGTAAGGAATTGGCACATGTTCCATTGGACTGGTATCCTACGTTACACAGACTCGAGTATGGTTATCGGGTGCGGATGCATATCTAAGGGTTGGACACTTCAAAGTTAAAAATTGAGGATACGTGTATATGGATCTAAATTTGGATACGGGCACGGAGATACGTTAAATAGTTATTTTTAAAATATATTTATTATATGAAGATGAGTTAAAAAAAGTTAAGAATAACAGATTTTGTTGAAATAAATAACAAATAAAATATTTTAAAATTATTTTAGGCATAAAATAAATTATATTATATATGATAAAAAAATTATTTTTATTTTAGACATAAAAATTATATTATTTATGATATATTATATTATACAATATCTTTTTGAATAAATAATATTATATAATATGAATAATATGTAGCAACTTTTGGAGGATATAGCATCGGGAAAGGGAAAATATTATATTATTATAATATGAATAATATTATATATTGGTATATTTTTGTAATTTATATTATATAATATAAATCTAATAAAAAAGAAGAGAAAGAGAACAGAGAGAAGTCAAGAGAAGAAGAGACAGAGAGAGAGAGAGAGAGAGAGAGAGAGAGTAGAAGAACAGGGAGATCGAGAGATGAAAGAGAAGATAGAGAAGGAGATCGAGCATTGAGCAAAAATCGAAGCCCGTGACCAAGTCAACAATTAGATCGATGTCTTCACCCTTTCGAACGGCGACCAGGTTCTCTCTTGCTATCTCCTCTTTGATTTCTTCTGCTGTATCTGTTTGTAAAGAGCTGTATCCCGGCCGTATCCCACACCCGTACCCGTGTCGTGTCAACGCAGGTACCTCCGAAAATCTAAAAAGTTTGTGTAACGTAGCTTACCCTAGATTTGAGTTATATAAATGCTATACTATGAATCTATATCATTTCTTCATACCTAGGAGCCTTAAAATCATGTATTTGAGGATTGGAAGTGGTGAAATAAAAAGAAGTTTGGAAAAGATATGAAACTTGAATCAAATCACATCTTTTAGTTGTTTGATCTCAAAATCAACACATAAAAATGAGTTTCTATTGATTTTCCATCATATTTCTATGCATTAGGGAGTTATATAACATGTTTTAGGTTTTGGAAGCTTGAAAAATGGATTTTGAACCTCAAGAATAGCCAAGAACAACAAGAATCTGAAGCTGCCCAAATCTATCGCACGTGCGGCAGCAAAAACTGCACATGTAGCGTGCCCTCCACACATGCGGCAACCCAACCCTGAACCAAATTGGAGGCCTGAAATAATTGCGCGTGCGTCCCGCACATGCAGCCCTGGATCCCGCACATGCGGAAATCAGGGTAGTTGCCTGTTTTCTTTTCTTTTCGATCCTTTCGACCCTCAGATACCCTTACGCACGTTTTGAACCTAAATGAAAGATGAACACGATTCGAAATCAATCTAAAACATATTTAACTAGAAAAGAAAAAGCTAAGTTAAGATAATTTAACTATTAAATCTTTGCTTTATCAATATTTGTATTCTTATGTTTAAACCGAGACCGTTAAGGAGTAAAGCCGAGCATGAGCTATCTGTGAGTAATATTTTTGTTAAGTTATGTTTGAAAAAGTGTTTTATAAAGTGAAAAGTGTTTTGTTTATGAAATGTTTATTTTATTCAGAATAAATGAATATTCTATATTTCTGTGAATCTAGTAGTGACATCCTTTAGAAAGGCTCAGTGAGGCTCTTGCCATGGAGGGGTATAATACCATGGCCCTTCGATTATTGATTTGTAGAGATCTCCATTTGACAACCATGTATGGTTGGATAGTTTACTCTATTGGATGTATCATGTTATTATGCTTTTGATTATAAGCTATTCGTATGGATTATTCGAATGCTTTTGAAATCATGAACTGGAATGGATCTTTTGTAAATGCTTGGAATTCATTTATTTACCACTTTACTTTAATATTATTCACTAGGCAATGGCTCACCCCTCACCTTATATATATGTAGGTGCAAGAGAAGCATTATGAAGAGAATAGCTCCGAGGAGTTTTTGTATATATGCTAGAGTCAAGGACGTTGTAATATGTCATGTATATATTGCATTTTTCTTTACAAGAATATGTAAATAAGAATGATATATGTTTCATTTCATATAGCAAAGCACTGCTTTGAATCGATGTTTTAATTGGACTCAATATAAGTAATTAATGGCTTCTACACTCTTTTGTAAAGAAACTTTTTGCCCCAACTATCATAAGAGTCCAGTTTGATTTGATTTTTGTTCACCCAGGCCTTCGGTAGTGAGGGACTACTGGCCGGTCACCTCACCATCCTGTTTGGGACGGGTTGGGGTCGTGAGAGAGAGTGAGAGAGAGAAACATACTACATTTGGAAGTAGAGAAGATAGATATAAATTGGAATAGCTAACCCGAGGGGCAAGCATGAGAAATTATGAATACTGATTAGTGGGGATGAGAACCTCCATGACGAACTATTTCAAATGCAACATAAGCATTGACATAACATGAGATAGCATACAGAGAACCAGTTTAAAAGGCAATTTATCAAAAAAATTGTGTTAATGTTTCCAATTCGAATTCTTAAACGTCTTAAAATAAGTTCCTACATGAAAGATATCATTTATGGGTGTGTTTTTGACAATGGAAAATACCACTTGAAAAAACTGTTACCTCATGTTCTTCAAGCATTCCGCTTTATTTTCAAATTTGATTTTTAAAAATAAAGTTCTCCCTCATACCATATGGACACAGGAGGAAAACTGAAACATTTTAAATCTAAATGCATACATAAGCTCAGTTCCCAAAAGAAAAATGCCCACATATGTGGAGGATCCAAAGATTGAAAGGAAAAGGTTTCATTTTCTAGAATGCCATAAAATGAAATGAACTGTTAAACCTTTACATATAAAAAATTATCAGGTTAGTCAGGAACACCAGTGTGGCAGTATGCTTGTCCAATTACACACATTCAAGTGTTCACTTTGTTCCTATTTTTTTTTGGAAAAATGGTGACATGCCACCTATTGTTGGTGGGCACATGACCTTATGGCGTTCCGGGAACACCAAATAACTTCTTGCTATATAATGTGTGTTCTCTATGTTCACTTTTAAAGAAAACACCTATGGATTTTCTGATGCGGAATGTGTGTCCACCATGGATATTTTATAATTTTTCTTTATTTAATCTGTTTTAATATTTTGTTTTAATTATAGTTTAATTTAGAGATTTAGTTTGGTTAAGATTTTATTATTATTTGTTTCCATATTCTAATAGGATCTGGTTTCCTTTTGTATTAGGGTTTTTAGCCTATATAAGTATTAGGTTTGCATTGTATTCTTCAGCTTTGATTAATGAGAGTTGAAGTATTAAGGCTGTGGCCGTTGTGTTAGGACTGCGGTCCTCTTCTTCCTGCCCTCTCTTTCTTCTCTCTTATCTTTCTCTAAAGCATTCTACATCATTTTCCTTTTTCAAGGTAAATGGAAGGTAAAACATGTTTCCCCAAACAATTCACATTAGTTAGTGAAAAGAACTGTTAATACCATAGGAAGTTCGATGAGTCTATGCTTTGAAATTTCACAGAAATCTTCAACTCCATCAAAGGTTAACCAGCGGTCTCTTTGGCCCCAACATATTGTGGTTGGAACTCCCCAATTTTTGTCCATAAGTATCTTCCTCATTTCTTCAACATAGGTCTGCATTAACAAAAAAAGAAATGAAGTTGAATTAAAAATCAGCATCATCTTTTTCTATGATACATTGGGTTCTGGAATTTCTGCATGCACCATTTGGAATAAATGGACTATTAACCCAATAGAATGTAGCAGAGTCTAGTCAGTTCCCTAAATCTTGGCATAAGGCACAAAGTTTGAAGCTGTCTAAAGCATGCACCATGCATCATATCCCACCAAGATATTTCTTGAACTTAATATTGGGATGAATAATGAACCTTTCACATACAATGTTTTTATTTTAGTCAGGCAGAGTAAGTACAACCTTCTATGTCAAAACAATTGTCATAGAACCTTTTAAAAACCAATCATGAAAAAATTATGCTACAACTGCACATTGACTAGAGCATTTAAGATTCAAAAAACAAATAGCATCTCAATTCACAGACTTCCAACTATCATTAGTCACCTCTCTCTTACAATAACAAATAATATCCTCAATAATAATGATTGAATAGGCCTCACTTTAGCACTAAATTTTTTTTTTAAAAAAAAAGTACACAGTTTAATACCCCTTGGATTGGATCTGGGAGGGGTAGATTGGGTACAGACCTAACTCATGTTCAAACTGACAACCCTAAGGTTAGTATAGGCTAAGGTTTAACCACTGAATTAGTGGCCCTTATACTATGTTCAGGTTAGTAGGCCCCACTTTTGCATTGGTATCAATGACAGAATCCACTCCAGTCCAGCCCTAGGAGGGCTGAACACCTCTGCAACGTTGTGTTCCTGTTAATCCCCCAATACAATTACCTAGTACTTCCTTAGTTCAACTGATCAACAAGCTTAGCATCCATCGTAAACCTTCATTCAGTCATATAGTGTGTGTGTGTGTGTGTGTGTGGGCGCACGTCCCAAATTTGTAGCTGCCTTCATTCTATCATGATGTAGAACATAGCACAGCAAATGCTTAGACTACAATACAGACACATCCTGAACATGAAAATATGCATAATGGTTTCTATAGAACAAACAAGTCATCTCAATTTAGGAGTTCCATATCCAAGGATCTGTCCCACCATATCCTCGTCCTGGAGTGCATGATGAACAACACTGAGGATACTGCTACCTTTGTGCTTTTCCATTGCGTTGGTCTCTACTTCTCAAAAGTGAGTGGGTCCATTAGTTCAAGGATTTTCAGACCCCCAGCATGGCCATAAGCCTTTATGTGATCATCTTGAAGTCCTCTACATATGTTCAGTTATTACCCTTCAATAATCTGTCCCTGGTTTACCATTGTTAGATGGAGACATTAACAAATGATTTATGTCATTCTCAGCAAGCATGGACACAAGAAGGATGGTTCCTAGATCCATTGTTTACGTGTTTGAGTGTATCAAAGAAGTCTTGGTGTCTGACACAACATCAACATGGAGACAACTCTACAGAGAGTTCCCAAGTTACCTAGATGATCATACCAACAGTGGTGTAGAACCAGAAAATGAAGAAGTACAATTAGAGTTTCTGAATTCTCTCAATCAATATTCATCAAGCAAAACATGAGTATATCCCTTACAGAATCCCATGTATGTGTGTGTGTTCCATAACCAAATAAGGAAATTCAGCGAAAAAATTAGAAAAAAAAATCCTAAAATTAAATCTCCTAAAATTATTAGGCTGTCAACTGGCGCCTCTTGAACTTAGGCCTCGTTTGGAAACAAACTATTTTAGCAAAAAAAATTAAAAAATTACTAAATTAGCAAAAAAACCGACAACCCATACCAAAAAGTCAAAGATTCTATTTTTTCTCTACTTTTTGTACATCTTTTCGTAAAAAGCCAAAAAGCCATCTCAAACATACTAGTTTTTTTTAGCTCATATTTTAGTCAAATAACTAAAAAATTACTGAATTAGTCTGTTTTCAAATGAGACCTTACTCTCCCTTAGCAAAGCA